CCACCAACAACAACAACAACGACAACGACAACAACAACACCAACAACAACAACAACAACAGCAGCAGCAGCAGCAACAACAACAACAACAACACCAACAACAACAGCAGCAGCAGCAACAACAACAACACCAACGACTACAACAACAACAACAACATCAGCAGCAACAGCAACAACAACAACACCGACAACAACACCAACGACAACGACAACAACAACAACAACAACAACAACAATCATTTTACCCGAACGCGTGGTGTTCTCCCCAGTGCCAGGGTTTTCATACGACACCAGGCAATACCCCCACTTCGTGGGGGGGCATTACAAGCTCTACCAAATATCCAAACGACTCTTCGCGACCACCCAAACCCAGCTTCCCGCCCTATGACGTTGGGACACTTCACTTCGTGGCGTGCGGACGACCGTGGCTACTACACTGGCGTGGGGTACACACCCACAGAACTTGGTCACTTATTCGGGGCGCGCATGTGCCCAGCATGGTGCAATTGTGCCATACAATACATAATACAGAGAGACAGAGAGAGAGACAGAGAGCAGACAGAGAGAGAGACAGAGAGAGCGGCGCAACCTATGGCGCAACCAATAGGGGGGCGTTTTATTCTCGGCGGCCGAGGGCGCAACCTATGGCGCAACCGCAAGGGATCATGGCCCCTGGCAGGCGCGCGAACCCCGTTGCAAGAGCGTGCGAAAGTAGCTCGCGCGAGCTCATGTAACATAAATGTTGGAAAACCATTGGTTGTTTTAGGATTCGGACAGCGCGCGCGGGTGGAAATTTTGAAAAGTCGTGCAGGTGTTTTTCGAGGACCTACGGTGCGATTCGTGTGATTTTATGATGCGCGGTGCTAAAATTCTTAAGAACCCAATGGTTTTTGGAGATTTCGGCGTGCGCGCGCGAAGAAAAAACGAATGTGTCCCGCATGGTATTATTTGACAAGGATGATGGCCCTGGCAGGTGCGCAACCGTTGTCGCAGAAGTTCGAAAAAGTTGCTCGCAAAAGCCCGTTTGACAGAAATGTTGAAAAAGAGTTGGGTTTCCTACGAATCCGCAAGAGCGCGCGGGATGAGATTTTGACATTTTTTTGTTGAAAAACCATTGGTTTTTTGATGT